GTTATTCAACATGAAGCGTAAAACTTCTTTTATATGCAAGATTTCCCTCACCTTCTCCCTTTGGGGTATCCATCTTCCCAATTCCCATTGCCTGCACTTTCATCGGGAAGAGTTGGTAAGTCCACGAACACTTTTTTCTTGGTATCAAATACCGTAATCTAAAAACCCACATGAACAGCGTAATCTAAAAACCCAACACATGAAGGAAATGCTGAACGCTTTCCTGATTACTAAAGAAGAAACGTACCGTGCGAAGTTCAGTGACGTAATCAGGACGACCCCCACCGAAAAGGAAGATTAGGTCATCATGTAGAACCGCTTCAAGGCGGTAGCGTCCTTCCATGTTCGGGGTCTCAACAGAATAGGGAGTTTTCAATTAAGAGACTTCTTATTCGAAGAAATGCACGAAGATGAGGTTTTTCTATGAACGGTAAAGAATATGATGGAACATACCGCTTGTGCTTCACTTGTCCATCTCCATTTGCCATCTTCGAAAGTTAATTTGTCAACGTCTAGGAAAAAATTGTGTCCTGTGGTGCCACCGATCACATAGAAGGTACATGGATCCGAACCGCGCAACATAGCCTTAATTTATTCAGCATGAGGGGAACACAACGAACTAGGGGAACTAGAGACTGCGGAAGTGATTGCGACTAAACAAAGATATATCGTAACAAAAAACACATGAAGACCTCGAGGTAGAAAGTTTGGCACTATTCAACTATCACTACCCACTCTCCCGGAATTGGGCCAGTTTTTTATCGACTTCTTTTTCTACGAGGGCAGAATAGGTTGACAATATGTTTCCAAGGGTAGTTCAACCCCGTAAACATGAACAAGTATACCAACCTCTGACCAGCGCCCACGCTACAGACACCGGCGCCAACATACCCTACGTTCATAGCTTGCGTTCGTGAAGAAATGCAGAAATGCGGAAAATGCAGAAGTGCGGAAAGTGCAGAAGTGCGGAATCTGCAGAAAAGCAATAGATACGTATCGACTTGAAGAAATGCAGAAATGCCGAAACTGCAGACGTGCGGAAAGTGCAGAAATGACGAAAAGCATTACATACGTATCGATTTGAAGAAATGCAGAAATGCCGAAAGTGAAGAAATGCGGAATCTGCAGAAATGCCGAAAGTGCGGAATGTGCAGAAAAGCAACCGATACGTATCGATTTTCCACACTTTCGGCATTTCTGCAGATTCCGCACTTCTTCACTTTCGGCATTTCTGCATTTCTTCAAGTCGATAAGTATCTATTGCTTTTCTGCAGATTCCGCACTTCTGCACATTCCGCACTTCTTCACTTTCGGCATTTCTGCATTTCTTCAAATCGATACGTATGTAATGTTTTTCGTCATTTCTGCACTTTCCGCACGTCTGCAGTTTCGGCATTTCTGCATTTCTTCAAGTCGATACGTATCTATTGCTTTTCTGCAGATTCCGCACTTCTGCACTTTCCGCACTTCTGCATTTTCCGCATTTCTGCATTTCTTCACGAACGCAAGCTATGAACGCGGCCTTACGACTCGCTGAAATATTGTCCCCTGGGGTATGTTTGACCCTGCTGCAACCACGAAATATCACTTCTGCATGGGATGTCCATTGCGTCAGGAGACACACGTGACAGCGCAGTCTGCTGAGCTTTTTCTGCATCTGCACCATTCCCTCGAGAAAGTGATCCTTCCCTCTGCTGGAGCTGAGCTTTAGCAAAGAGAAGAATCACAATCCCAGGCCACCATGAAGGATACTACGTGGACGGCCTTGTTTCCGTAACTGCGCTAGCACACCCCTTGGCATGGAACCGCTATATGAGTTGAAACACGCATGCGCTGCCGTTGCCTGAAGCAAGCGGTCGGCGATTTGGTGCTAAAATGAAATGTTCTTGACCAGGACAATGAATCAAACCAGCACCTACTCACACCGATTTTGGTGAAAAAGGTGGTGGCGCCAAACGGGTACCAAACGGCGCCAAACAGAGCCAGCGCCAGAAACTAATGTGATATTCATCAAATTACGTTAATAGGCAAGTTTCAGCAGAAAAAAAATCGGGTTCTCGGGTGGTAATAGTTGAATAATACCGAAAGTTTACGTAAACAATCATGACATTATTTTGTATAAGAACAAGAAGTAACCGTAAAAATAAACGATGCTGCCATCAAATGCGTAAGAAAATGCCTAGGAACTCACGTGCCCGTAAGTAGCTAGTTTCTCCCCTTCCACAGGTAGTAGCGTGGAAACGATCGAATTGGAGGTGTTGTGGAAAGAGAGCAGATGAACACTGGAAGAAGTCGATGCTCCGAACGGTACAGCAGTGCCTCCGAAAAGCACAACTTGGTTCGAATACGGTAAACTCTGCACCACTGAAATAAGAAATGCTCAGACGGTTCAGTTTTGAGGCGAAATCATGAGTAATAAGGTAAACTAACAAGCAAACGAAGCTAGCGCGGTTGGGAAATTACCAAGAAGATCCATCTCTGTCCATTCTTGTGTCAATAAGTTATACTTCCAAACCTGAGAAAGAGAACAGTCCAACTGTCTGGCGACTCAGACCTATCAACTGATGCCCGAGACGGCACAACAGTTCATGTTAAGAAACTAACCTCTCTATAGATTTTGCCACCTTGCTCGTCCGCAGTCCTATCAAATCCTCCAACGACGTAAAGAAACTCGTTGTCCAAAAATATTCTATGGCCACTGCGAGGTGCAGGTTCATTACCTAATCAAAAAAACCTAGGGGAATAACAGGGAATAACACTGGTACGATCT